CTGAGAAAGTAATGCAGTCTGAACTGATCGATATTTATATAAAAATAGCAAAATAAAAGAAGAGATAAATTAATTTCATCTTTTTCTTATGAACCAACAAAATAATTTCTATTCGCCCAAAAATAATATATTTATACGTGTTCGTATTAATACGCACGAAACATATGAAACATCACAGCAGAATAAGATATGTCCTATCTACTTTGAGGACGATAATAAATGAGTAATATATAAGCCTATTATGGAAATAGGAACCAAGTATAATAGTACTTTATTTGGCCATAAATACAATTCAGTCTTGTCAGACGCTTAGCTACATGCGTTGTTGGTTTACCGAGTGGATATTCAGAATTAGCCATTCTCCTACCATACATTAATTTAACACAAACAGAGCGCTTATCTAAGTCGTAACTTCTCTGGCTTGTATTTTTATTTTCTGTTTTGTGTTTCTACCTGAATAACACTGAAAATAAAAGAGCCGATTTCGAGATATCACGGTGATTCACTGTTAAAGTTTATAATTTGATCTTTCTTTTTGGGTTATGGCGTAGTGTGTAAGTGGGCTATGTTGCCCGCTACCCTGAATATTGAGGTGGCATTTTCGTTCACGTCGACAAAACAGTAAACTCTCAGGCCTACAAACTAACGCAGAAATGCACGACTCGAATTGTGACTACAAATGACGAAAGGTATGATAATCGGAAGATCGAACGAGAATCGAACCCGATACCTCCTGAGTAGAATCAACATAATCGGTTTCAAACAAGACATGTTTTAACATGATATTTCTGGTGCATTATTTGTGAGAGAAGTTTTGGCTCAATTATTCAAAAACATTAGGGTCATTTACTCCAAATGCGATCCTTAGTATATTTGTAAAGTTTTGCTATTTGAGAACATTATACTAACAGATTTAAGACATTACAAAAACATTAATTAATGATAGAAATTTTTTTATGAGCATTCAATTGACATATTAAGTGCATAATTCATTGTCCTAGAAATTTAGCTTAGGTTTAAATTATTATAAAGCTTATTCCTGCACCTGAATTTAATTTCATATTGACATCTCTCATGCAGCAAAAATTTTCTCCCCGATTCGTAAAGTACACTAAATGTTTTGAAATAGAAGCTTTCAGATTTCTCTCAAAATTTTATGCTATGCTTGTCATAGTGATGGAATACTTTCTATTAAACTGTGCTGTCATCGACACATATAACCTTGTTTCGGTAAAAAAAGATAAATGTCAATAACATATTAAATTTTCATACACAAAGAATAAAAACCAGATTAAATTCATGAAATGCTTTCATCTCAAAAACTTCTCTGTTCTCGTATCCCGTCCAAAAGAGCACATGATAAAAACTCAAAACGATAATTTTACCCGTGACTTTTCATTTTCGAGAATAAGCCGCGTATAATGTTGACAGTTATCCATCGATTCGACTAACATTGAGGTTGTTATCTTCAGGGTGAATATGTAAAAGTTGATAGTTTTTGGAAGCCTTATGAAAGGCAGGTAGTTGTTAACAGAAGCGCAATCAACTACTCCCTGTCCTGTATAAAGCTTCAAAAAACGTCAAACTTCCACACATTCACCCTGAAGATGGCAACTTTAATGTTAGTCGAAACGTTGGATGTGTTATTATAAACAATCGACGAGGTTTATTCCGGTGAACTGAACTCCAACCGAGAAAATACGGAAAACGGTAATTTTACCTTTTAGTTTGCATTGGTGTGAAAAGAGGTTTTCTTGTCGTGATATAAGGAAACATTGCGGGTATAAGAAAACAAGAAGTTGATGGGATTATTATGACTTAAAAGATGTAATTAGAGGCTATATTAAACTAAAGAATGTCGAGCTTCATAATCTGCACAGTTCGCCGGAAATTAAAAGCCATAAATCCGTGAAAGACTTCAGACGAGAGATAAGAAATGCATAAAGAATTTAATATCTACAACATGAATCATAGATGTGTGGGTAATATTACTTATTCTTAATGTAACATCACATGAATGCACTAGATTCGTCCATCACTAAACAGTGACCAATGCTGAGTTCTTGCAATGAGCATTATATTCCATAATTCTCGACCAGATGAGCTACTATTATCTTCTCAAGAAAAGGCTCTGTTCCATGGAGTTAAGTAAATTATTAAGAAAACCTCGTAAGTTTCGAAGATGAAATATATGATGTAGAAACACGTGATTGTTTCAGTAAAAGAGATGTTTTTGTCACACGAAATTTTCTCGAATTCCGTTTGGTAACCTGACTTCAATATTCCATCACGGTGACATATTAGGTAAAAAAACATAACTTATATTCACGATTTATGCAATTTAAATCCCGGTTGGACAACTATTTAGTCTCAAATTTCTACGTCATTTCTAGATTTCTAGGGGAACCGTTTATTATAAACTCTTACCAATGTAACATCGCTTTATATAAAATCATGCATCTTCGTATGGACATAAAGAATTTTTATTAAGTAAAATCCTTTGGCTGGTGAAACATAAATTGAGCCCTGTTAAGACTGACGTCTGACTTTCTAAGTTTCGTTCAATTTTAATAAATATTGTGCCTTGGTATTCAGTTAAAAATTATGATAAGTATTAAACACGCGATGTGACAATATTTAGGGATGTTTATTTCAGGTAGAATGAATGCCACATGAAAGAAATATTCTATAGTTTTTAAAAAAGATAGGAATAAAAAGTGTTGAGAGTTTTTCTTAGTGTCAAACAGCAAATACAGCTTTCTCTCTGTATTATTTCAGTTCAAAATATTTATTCGTAAATTATCAGCTTGAGAAATGTCTTTCCGCTCAGCTAATTATGAATAAAATTCCTTTTTGGATTTGCTTTCTTGTCATAGCCAAGTTCTGAAACAACAGTTTGGTTTAAAACGTTTATTCTCGACCGTATCACATTATTGTAGCACAGGTTTTACCAAATTTCGTTAACACACGCCTCACACGATAAGAAAACAAAAATTAAAAAAATATAATTTATGAAACCGAATAATATTATACCTACACATAAAACATATTTAATTTATGTAACAGAAATATGAGTTATTTAATTTTTTCTAAAATATTAATTTGCTTTATTCTGACAATTAAATCCTTAGAGCAAACTTAGCGTACAATATAAAACGGAACTAATAACACATTTGACTTAATTCAATAATAAACTTAATTACGAAATGGTTCGAATTTCGATTCTCTGAACCATACTCTCATATAGGCATCTACAAATAGTGTCTATTCATACCTAATAAATATTAAATCTCCGCTACGTAACATTAATCCATGCACAAGAATAAACCTTCCAATCCTGTTTTGTGAGGTCAATGGTCAATCTTGACATAAGAAGTAAGTTTCTTACTTATAGATCCTGGGTTCAGTATGAAACTATTCCGAATCACTGGACAGACAATAACATTGTCGACTCCGAAAATCTAATCAGTGAATCCATTACGAAACTAAAATATAGTAGTATTAAGCATAAAACAGGAGTAAGAAGCCATCTTTTATTCTAATGTACTACGAGGGAAAACTGCTCAAGATTTGTAATTGTATAAAAATATAATTTGTGAAACGAATACGTCCTTTATATTTATATTTATATTTTTAAGGCAAAGTGTGGTAGACTGAAAACACACTAAAAGACGAACAGAAAATATATAAAGAAACTTCGATTACATATACAATGTTGGAAGTTAAAAGTTGATATATGTACAAACTTCCATTACTATGTTTTAATGATAGATAAGATTTTAAATTATTTTTTTCTGATTAACGTTGCTGTGTATATCTGCCATATAAATTAAATAAAATAAAATGAATCTTAAACGTAAATAATAATAAAAAAAGAACACTAGTTCAAAAGCTATTCAAAAGGATTATAAACCTTAGATGTGAGTTTGTGATAATACTATTGTAGGAACACACTGCTTCTTTATTCACGGAACGTATGATACCCACATAAGAGAAGTTGAAATATAAACTACAGTCTGTTTAGAAACCATTGAGTTAAGGTCATATCTAATATCATCGTAAAGAGATTATTCCGTCACTAGATAAAAGAGTTATATGATATTTCATTTTTAAAATATTTGAATTTATGAAAATATTTAATATTAAAAACATATACGCAACATTTGGTCTGTATCAGAGTAGAGTGAAATTGTGTAAAATCTCAATTGACGCATCGAAGCCAGCCATAGCGATAGCCATATTGCAGTGAAAGCTATAACAATCGATACTATGCTAGAAACCCACGCTTCTGCTACGAGAAACACAAGTTTTACTAAGAATTACGAGAAAGTTACATGCAATACAACGCCACAATTATTACTACATTTAATACATAAAGCTACGGACAGAGTGATAGAAAATGGATGGTTTACCCTGTACCTTTCAAAGGCCAGTCCCAATTCAACTCCTTCGATACACATAGCAAGCAAGCTGACTTCGTTACATTTTTCCATCAGAAGATTCGCGTAAGCTGGGCTCAAGGCAATATATCAACTATTCAAATTAGAAAATTTGGCTTAAAATAATATTACACGAACAAAACTGATAAATTTAAACACTTATCAGAATATATAAGAAATGCATTAAAAATTAATCAGTAGAACGAAAAGTGTAATATTTTCAGAGTTAACTGTAGATAGAAAGAAAAGTTGCAGTTTTAATTTCTTTTTGCAGTGTTTACATTTTGACAATAATGATTTCGTGTTCAGATTGCCGCCCATAAAATAAAAATGGGTGGTATGGTAATATACTAGAATGATAATGGGCGAGGTTTTTTTACAGCGATTTAAAATTCATTGTTTATACTGGACAATTATCAGAAATAAAAATAATAATACGAAAAGAAACATGCATGTATATATAAGGTTCTACTCAAGACTCAGAACGTGCCAACACAATCGAACCTGAATCATAAATGAAATTAAAATGCAAAAAAATTATTTTAAAAAAAAAACACCTACCAATCTGAAGAAAATTAGGTGATGATGGACCAGTTAGAAAACGCAGAATCTAAACAGATCAAAACGGAAGGAAAACAGCAACCAAATCTGCGACGAACTCCTACAAACGTAACACAAGTTGCAGTCAGACAGTGCGAGAACTAAATGACAGCGACCGCCGAGAACTATCGGAGAAAATTGGACCGCATCACCGCCCCAGCAAATAGTAACCTTGCTCCACATTTGCAGATTTTTCCTTTGTTATTCAGGCGTCATATTCAGAGGCCACACCCTAAGAAACACACAGTTGTGTCTGTCCGTAGCATGACGTCACATATTCAGAATAGTGTTTACCTGATACTGTCTCACTTTTGTGTAAGCGTAGGAACTTTTTCTCTTGGCGTAATCAACTCGTGGGTTAGGCTGTGTTGTGCGTTCTGTATGACAGCGGGTGGTTCAAAGGCAGATCGATTTGAAGGGCGAGGGAGGGTTAGCGTATTGTAGTACCACGTATTAAAGCTAAAAACTGAGATATTCAGTCTCTCTCTCTCAAAAAAAAAATTCGTAAAATAACAACTGATAGAATAAAAGGTAAATAATAATGTTGAGAGATATATTTATTATGACGTGCAGGTGGTGGTTGTAGGTCAACGTGGATAGGACGTCTGTTCAAGCTGAGAGCTTCTTACGCCATGCGTACTTGCTTCGTATCGACTGACGGTCATATCAGCTGGCGCTGCAATCACGGCAACATGGCCGCCTTCTATACAGGTTTGTTTACTTTAATCACACTGAAAACATTTTTTTTTAGCGTTATGGAATTTAACCAAGTTTGCCCCATTATATTTACTAACAGTTTTGAAAGTACAAACGGGTTTTGAACGTATTGCCTGTCTTTGCCTTATATTGATTTGTTCTCTGGATGCTTTAATAGTCACATGGCATGGAACTGAACTGATGTAAATATTCCGTGTTCCTTAGTTTATTGATCAAACATTATGAGTGTCGTTGACATTGTAACTTGCCTTCTTACCCAATTTTTTCAACCGTTATTACTAACTTCAAGCCTAACAACGTTGATAATTACATAATTAGCTTAAAGGAAATTATTAAATTAATAATTAGATTAAAGTGAATTATTAAACTAATTCATAGCATCGAATTTTTCCAAGATTCGACGAAAAAAAACACACTCGCCAATAAGAAAATTACGTTCATATTTTCAAGGTTATTTTTGTACTGGATGCAGTAGCCTGAAGATTACAGACGAGTTACAAATAATTTGCAAACAAGTATCGTATTTGTTCCATGATGTGGAGCTAGTCAAAATTATTTCTAAAAAATAATTTATTTCTAATATAAAACAAAAGGTACAATTGTTTGTCCAATTCAGCCAAACTTATGGGCACTTTCATCGACATCGAATCTTCGTCTAACAATTTACAAACTTTAAGGTGTTCAATTTTTTATTATGCCAAACATGTGAATGATTTTAAGGTACTTTTAGTTATAGCTTTTGAAAATTTAATGAGAATATTTTATTTTAACAATAAATTTGTTTCTGTAACACCGGAAATACCTGATTTAATCATTTAGTTCTGCTGTAAATGCTTCTGAAATGTAGTGAACAACATAACTCATTTTATTCTCGTTAATTTATAATATTCTGTATCGAAAATTACGCACCATAACATCAATATTTGGTACAATAATACCAGTTTCTATTTTCCAGGACGTCTCTGGAGCATTGCACATAAATATTAGAGCTGAAACATCATGGATGAAGGTACGTTAAGTAGAATCACACTATTTTCCTACAAAATCAATTCATTTTAAAGATGAAAATAACCGACGATATCCGATGAGACTCGAATGTTGTCTAATATAATATGTCTTCAGTTGCATAAAATTAGAGCGAGGTTATTTGGAAGCTGTGCCGCTCGGAGCAGTAACGTATAGAGTGAGTGCTTATAGCCGAAAGACCGTTCCGTGCCGTGCCGGTAGCACAGTGCGTCTGAGTTTAAGTGTTGGCAAACACGTTAAATACCCATCATGCTATTATAAATTCATTTAAACAAAGTCTTGAAACATCTAAATGCAAAAATATACTCACTAATGTTAAAAAACCTAAATTTGTGTTCATTTTATTAAAAATACACTCTCTTTTTGATCACAACATCGGTTATTAAAAGCAGAAGTTTTATAGTCGATCTCAGATCGATTGTGTTAAATATTCCAATGATGGCAGATGTAAAATATAGTATTACGATTAATTACTTTTGATTATATATATATATATATATATATATATATATAACAACTATCTATCTACAAATAAAACATTTTTAATGTCTAAATATTTGTTTCAGTGTCGTGACACGTAACTACGTTTAAATTATACATTCATAGAAGTTATTACGTGTAATATATATTTAAATAATCTCAATTCGAAGGAAAATGGCTTCTTATCTTTGAAATGGGGCCCGCAAACGAAGTTAAATTACCAATAAATGCTATAATTTGTGATTTGCAAACATCCGGTTGTGTTTGAATCTGTATACAGGAAGTTACCGTTGTCCTGTTTCTGAGATACGTAATTTCATTAGATTTAATTCATTTGAAATAGATGTTCAAGTTTTATTTACATAAATATGCTTGCGATTAGCTTTAACTCAGGAGAAAGGCTTTGACCTTGAAAATGCTGGTGGATGTTGTGGTGAGGCGGAGACATAAGGACCTTGTCAAAAACATAAGGCTCTTAAGTTTTCGTAAATTTTCTCTGATCTCCGGTCTAATCTGTTTTACTCTTTCAACAGATACGCCACAATAGTTCTCTGTCATTTAATCTGCACGTCATTTAGATAAAATCAGAATCTTCTTCACAATTCTTTGTTTACATTTGTAGTTACCTCTAGCTTCACTATGAATGTTTTTTGTATTTATTTGATGAAAATAATCTTTAGAGTTTTTTAGAAAATTTGTAAGATGTTCAGTATATAACATAAAGAATCAAATCAAAATAATAGAAAGTTAAGTTAAATTAACTTTCACACAGAAATCTACCTGACTAAAGCGCAATTTTTATTTTAAACTATAATAAATAGGTTTTTATCCATAGAATTATTATTATCGGACCTCCTTGTTATCGAATTCAAATTTTTGTACTGAGTAACGCACAGTAATTATATGTAACCTATACATAAATATTATAAAGCTTTCTAAACCTGGTAAAATGCATTGGATCTTGAACCAAATTTCTGTTAACAGAATTGACCATGTACGTAAAGTTTTAACCAAAGAGAAAGGAGAATATACGAGGTGCGATCGGAAAGTTTCAAGATTGTGTCAATAGAGGGCGAACCGGATGTAGTACGAGCTTCTGCCGCTAGGGGGTGCGGCCTACATTCATAGTGAATCAGTGTGCCAGCCGGCATCATCGAATTAGCATTTGTTTCTTAGTTACGGGCGTTTTGGTAGTGCATTACACCGACCCTCCTGCGATTTCGGAATGGCGTGTGCATCAAATGTTGCCAAAG